TCAAAAGCGTGATATTATTTTACAGCCACGTGATGGAGGACTTAAACGAATTTCTGAAATACATCGTGTATATACACATGCAGCTTCGGTTAGACAGTTATCCCATTCTTTGTCATTCTGCAACAGACCTAATGCAATGCAAGTTTCCTTAAATGTGTCATAAATTACTCCATCTACAGTACGAAGGTCCTCAAAAGATGTTGCTCTGCGAACTATATTAAACAACATTCGTAAATAGTATAATTCGCCTGCCGCTGGATGAATAAAATATATGCGTCCAATAGAATTCCCTTGTTTCCTTGGTTTCCATTTCTTAGTTCGCTTATCATAAGTCCACTGGGATGGAAAGTTGCTATAGATAAGATTTCTAGCCTCCGGATAAATCGCATTTGCCTCAAACCATGCAGTAAGTGTTGTCTTTCCTAGATTTGAGTGGTTAACTACATCTTCTAAGTTTTCTTTATCCCGAAAAGCCACCAAATGCTGGTCTGGGAGATGAATTTGGAGTTGTATTACATCTGGCTTCCTGTTGTGTAATCGATAATGAAATAACCTCCAGGAAGCCTCCGACGCTGAAACATATCGAGCATCAAGATAAAGACTAATTTCATCGATATTTTTTACTTGTCGTTGACCTTGTTCGCTTCTACATACTTCTACAGTAGTACGATCATGCCCCTTATAGACGTATTTAAACAAATATTTTACTGCAGTAAATGAAGAACATATTTCCACATTTATATGACAATCATACTTAGTGGATAAAAATGGATTATATGGCACCACCCAACGGTTATCTAATTCTACTCCACGAATGTTGACTTTTGGACCATTTTCCCTCCGTCTATAAACCAGATATCCATTTTTATTACTGACGGTACTTTCTTGAAAACATTTTGGATACCCTTTAGTGCATTTACCATCTTTCATACATGGTGCTTTTGAGCTAAGTGTGCCGCATAGACCATGAAACATCGACCGTTGAATGGTATCAAATGTATCAGGATCACAATCTTTGTTAAGAATTTCAGCGCATACAATGGCATCATAATCATCAGTCGTCTGAGGCTTGTATTCTGGAGCAAGAATAAAAAGTATGTGCACATGTGGCAAGCCACGCTTTTGAAATTCTATGGTGTACAGATAAGCATCCACTCTTCCAAAAATGCCTTATTTTACAATGTTGTCAATAATTGCCTTCAGTTTCATATTAAAAACCCGAGTAATTAGATCCGGCCTGTCTTGCGCTGATTGATCTGAAAGAAGTGCGTTTGTAATTTCAGGCCAATTCGGGTTGCACATTGCCGTAATAAATAAATCAGGTTTGCCAATAGCTCGTACAATAGCCATTCCATCCTGATAAAGTCTTTGCATTTGCCGAGGCCCGCCCATAAAACTTGATAGCAAAATAACCCATTTTCCTATATTAGCTGTCTCTCAACTATCTAATAGTTTTTTAAAAGTAGAAGGGTTACAAATAATAAATAAATAAATAAAAGTGGTTAAATTAAAATAAGATCCCCCAGAACTAAGCGAATCCAATCTCAAAAGTAAAAAAAAAATTAAAAAATAAACTAAAAAAAAAACTCCTTTTAAAGTTTTAAAAAAAAATTCAAAATCGAACCAAAAAAAAACTTCACGATTTTTAATAAACTTGGTGCATGCAAACCTTCTGCAAGTAATGCATTCTGAAGTCCTTTGTACAAATCTATCCTGATCTTCTCTTGATTTAGTCTTAGAAAATTAAGACGTGTTTGCTCTACGATCGCATACATGTCTACAATCCATTGTTGAAAAAGCTGTCCAAATCGATGCAAAACAATTTCCTCATCAGTGCGACCAAGGTGAAGTCGATATGCAAAGTAATTCATTGCAGTAACATAATTCGCTGTTATAGATTCATCTTCATCGCCACTATATTCTTTATTTAATTGCCCTTGTACAAAATCATCACGTAAGAGAATTGAAGGGTGCCATCCATCTTCTCCTAGAGGAAACATAAGTACATAATGCAGCAGTGTATATACACGATGTATTTCAGAAATTCGTTTAAGTCCTCCATCACGTGGCTGTAAAATAATATCACGCTTTTGA